ATCACCTTTAATACCATATAAGGAAATCTATTGTTTTCATTGAACACCTTTAATACCATATACGGAAATCTATTGTTTTTAATGAACATCTTTAATACCATATAATAGAATCTAAAACTATCACTAACTAATACTACTCCGGTATTTAAAGAAATAGGATTAAAACATTGAAAACTGCCTCTTTAAGACCCACAACTATGTTTTTTTTAGTGCTTGGTAATCCACGAGGTAATGAAAACCCACTACTTCTGACATTCGGCGTACTGCTGTTCAGATGGCACAATTTATTGGCTGAACGAATACAAAAAGAACACCCAGACTGGAAAGATGAACAGATATTTCTGACTGCTAGAAAATGGGTTGTGGGTACATATCAGGTGAGCATGGACTGAAAAATGGATTGTGGGGTACATAACCAATAAGCATGGACTCAAAAATGATTTGTGGGTACATATAGACTTATAATGAAAATGCATTTTGCATTTTTATTCCCTTATCAAAATAAAGTGGTTTACACTAGGTTTCAATTATTCATTAGACAAATACAAGTAATATATTTCATAAAAAGTATATATCTGAACATAAAATACTAATCCCACCCTGAGTGATATATAATCAGTGAACAATACATTATTGCTAGTTATATTAAAGTTGCATTTTTAGATTGTAAAATCTTTAAACAGACTACATGGGTTTGTGTAAGCGATCTAAAAATGCAACTTTAAAAATTCATATTCTGTAGTTAAATATATGGTATAATTGTTAATGTATATGTGATTTGGAGCATCAGTTAAAAAGTCATAGTATGAATTGAAACATAAAAGCGAGGGAGTCGTCACCTGCGCATGGGTCAGATGGCCATAGCATGTCATTTTTTGGAAACAAGCATCTACCCATGAACCTTTGTGTTTTTAGCGTGTGTTGTTATCCTCGCTTGGGGCGCAATTCCCGGGTGTGCGGAGGTGAAGACCCTCCCGCTTTAAAACTATTGAGTTCAACAATTTTTTTTTCTCTAAAATTCAGAAAATAGTTGTTTATGACTGGTTGCCATCCTGGTTGAATGACACTTTACCAGATTACTCAGGTACGTAATGAGTTCATGCAGATAATTAATTTATGTATTTAATATTCGTAATGATGATATAGGGCACCCTCTATAGTTGTGTTTTTCATTCAACTGCAACATTTGTTTTTATGTGAATCAGCGTTTTAACCAAGTTTTGTATTTTTCTTAGGTTATCAGAGCGCGCTACATCCGGGGATCACACATGAGTTTCAGTCGGCAGCAATGAGATTTGGCCACACACTTGTTCCACCAGGAGTTTATAGAAGGTAACGTTATGGTGTCTGCTAGAGTCTAGTCTGTGTGGTCTTTTCTACTCACAGTTCATGAATATTGAAAACGTCATAGTTGTCATACTATGTGTTGTTTGATATACTGTACTTCTCCTGTCATATGCCCACAGGTCTTAACATGTATAATCAGGGAAAATAAGGGGTGGGCTTTTACCTGAAACCACCTCGAAAATCATGATTTTTTTTGTTTGTTTAACATTGCAACCATGTTACCACCCAAATTACATCTTTCTTTCACCATGCCTGGTTAAGGGGAATATTACTTCTTTTTTTTTTTTTTTTTTTTGATAAATATTTTTTTATTA